CTTAGTTTGCAGACTAGGTCTTGCTTTCTCTTCCCGAAGGGAGGGAGAGGTCTTGTAGACCATCTCTTAGTGGTCGTAGACTACTTTTCGTGGTCGTAGGCCACTATTCCCGTTTGGAGACTAGTTTTCGGTTTTCGGGACTGCCGGTCGTACGCCTCGGCTCGGGACCGCTTAACATTCTCCGTTTGCCCCAATTTTTGGCACACACCTTGTTTCCTCTCTCTAGAAGGACACTGTGGCCCGGGAGACCACCTTCGTGGTCGAACGCCACTTTCGATGCTTAACAGTCAGTTTTCGGGGCACCCGGCTGCGTGTTTTAGCCCCCGAACCCTCGTTTTGCATCCGTCATGGTTCATTTTTGGCTTAGACCCTATTTTCATTGTTTGGAAGGTGGTACAAGGGTGGGAGACCACCTTTTCTCCTTGGAGACCACCTTTCTCTTCGTCGGCCGATTTTCTTAGCAAGGAGCTGGTCTCCTTGGTTTTTGAGCCACATTTACTGGTCTCCCACCATATCACTTGCTAGCATTTCATGTGGAGACCACCAAATGGGGCTGCCAACCACCTTTCTTTGTGTTGCACCTTTTGACCTGGCTGGCCGACCACCTGAACTGGTCGGCCTACACACTAGCTTTGTATGCTCCTCGAAGCAGCATCTCATTTTAGCCTATGTTGTGTCCATTTCAACATGTTCTTGGGCTTATTTTATCTTGTCATACCTCTGTCTAGATTTGGTTTGGTTAGCCCTTGCATGCTCCATACACTTGCCATGCAATCCCATGAAATAGCCTAACATGCGTCATGTTGTGACATGTCTTTTTAGCATGCTTTTGGCTTAACTTTAAGAAGCTTTTATCCATGTTTTGGTATGCTTGAGGTCTGATTTTGGTTGTCTTGGTCATCCATGACTTCTTTTGCACAACTTTCGTTCAATCTTGCATGTAAGCTTTGTGTATTGAATCATCTAGCATGCATTACTTGGCTTATTCCAATGATTTGGCATCATTTGTAGTGTAATTTCAGTCCATGTTTCATGACCATGCACATGCATTTGTCACTCAATCAATGTGTTGGAGGGTTTGTCCCTTTATGCCTTAACATGAGCCATTGCGTATGCATTCATGCCATAGCTTGCGAGCCATCATTTCAGTGATTATTTGGGGTTATTTTGCCATAATATAACTCTTTTATAAATTTAAGTATGGAATTAATTTAAGAAAATGTGACAAATCTGTGTCATAAACTTTCTTGGAATTTTTCGGAATTATTTATAATTTAGTTTTGGAAAATTATTTCTGAAAAATGACCATAACATGTTTATTGAGTATTTTATAGATTTATATGAATTTTAGAGTTATATAAGTAATTTATTTATAATTTTAATTGCGAGATATACATTCTGAAAAAAAAAACTTGGCAGATTAAGGAGGAATCAAAAAAAAAATTATCTCTTCAATTGTTTATTTGGACAAAAATTTAATATTGTGTTAATCTAATCTTGTAAATTAAAAATATATGCATGTGTGTGATTATGATTTATTTCTTCTTTTTGGTATTTACATTATTATTTCATACCATGGTTTAAATAAATTGTTTATTTAAATTTTGTACATTTGTTTACTATTGTGTGACATGTGTAATATTTTATGTTGGAAATTTTAATGAGTTGGTATAACATTATTGGTTATTAGATGTTGAGTTATTGTGAATATCTTAACAAGTAAAGAAACACGAAATTTAACCAATGATACATTAAAATTTAAAAGTGATGGGGTGAGCCCGGTTTAGAATCTTGCGCAAGTGAGTTGCGAACCCTAACATGGCATAAGAAGGTATTTCGGCTCTTATCGGTGTAGGCGATATAAGGTTGGTGGTGCGTGTGTCGCAACATAGACCGTTCCCTTGGGGTAGACCGTGATGTCATGACTCGGGTATGTAACCTTGGTGCGTGGGCATCATTGGTAGTTACAGTAAGTAACATTTGAACATTTGATCAAGGGGGGATCAGAATTGCCCGTGGCCATTGCTTAGCGGTTGAGTGGAATTAGTACTCTGCGGGGAGTTACTTAAATTTATCTGATAAACTAAATCTATGAAAATCTAAAAAGAAAGGTGGGCATATTTCTTATGATGAAATACTGCTTCCGCTTGCTATATTTTTTTTATTTGATTTATTATTATCTATTGTTATTATTTCAACTGATAACATTCCTTTTATACTTAGTAAATGTTACTTGTTATTCTGTTACTACACATTATTCATAAATTGTGAGTATTATTATCGGGGTGGGTATTTTTGGATTGTAGTATCTTATTGAGCTCGTCGCTCACTGGCATTCCCGTTGCCCTGGCGTTTTATGCCAGGTACCGAAGAAACCGAAGGAAACACCGAGGCCTTGTAAGGCGACACTCAGCCTTGGTTAGCTTGAAGAGTGCCCAAGTTCTATGAACCACTTCCTAAAATTTCTAGTTTTTCTCTAGTTTTCTTTTTATATTTGTGTCATTTCTGTTATGTACTAAGACTAAGTTGTGATGTAAGAACTTTAAATTCTGGGTTGTTCATTAATGGATGTTAGTAATATTGGTGGCAATATTGATTTTAAGTTTCTAAATCTTATTATGATGTCCTTAAATTTTGGGGCGTTACAGGCCCGAGGTCGTTCTGTTATTATTGGGCCTGAGGCCATTCTGTTATTATACTGGACCTGAGGCCGTTCTGTTATTATTGGGCTCGAGGCCGTTCTGTTACTATGCTGGGTCCGAGGCTGTTTTGGATTGTGTTGGTAAAAAGGACATACATGTATTACATGCATATTCTGCAAGGCACATGCTCATTTATGTCCTCATACATTATTATTATTCACTGAGCCTGGCTCATTCTATATTCATTATGTTTTGTAAGTGATCAACTTGGAGACCAACCTTAGGTCTGCCTCTGGAGTTCTTTTGTGGGCCTATTATGTCAAGCCATCCAAGGTGTGCCTTTGTGTCGAGGCTTCAATTTTGTATTGTTAGAGTTTTGTATATTATTGAGTCTTATGAATACGTGTTTGAGATATATAAGATTTGTATATGAATATAAATTACTAGTGTGTCTACATATTTTTAAGTATTCTAGTTATTATGTATGCACAAGCTCAATGGACATTATTATTTGTTTTGCTTCCGCTTTAAGCCCCGATATGATTTGAATAATTTGAAATTTTGTCCCTAAGGCTTGAGTACAGGCCGGTCATGCTCCAAACTTTTAGGGATAGGTTTGGGTCATGACAGAATTGGTTTTTTTTTTTTTCTCCGAGTATTGTGTTAAATGAAAATTTATAACAAACAGTAGTTGTAATTTCTAGTATTATAAAACCTATTATTATTTTAAACAAACCTTATAAGTGTATTTGTAATTTGTTAAAAAAAATAAAAGATTTATATTTCATAATTGACCAAGAACGTTTGCGTAATTACAAAAAAAACTTGTTTTATGATTGACCAAGAATGTTTGCATAATTACGAAAAAACCTATTACATAATTGACCAAAAATATTTGCGTAATTATGAAAAAAATTTCACTCAACACATAGACCATCATTAAAAAATTAATTAAAATAAAAATATAAAATTAGAAAGAAAAGACGAATTTCAAACAGGTAAACGATTCTTATATATATGCGTGTGTGCGCGCGCGTGTGGATATGTATTTAAGAATAAAGATTGGGATTCTGGCGTTTCATTGTAAAAAATGAAATTGGTGAAGCATGTGGAATTGGATTAGATTGAGTTGGGTTGAGTTGCGAGACTCATTAGTCACGGCAAGTACCTTCTTAGGCTCTGTTTATTTTTAGAAGCAGAATAGAGAGAATTAATAATTAGAGAATTATTGGTGATGGGATGGACTGAGAGTTGCTGTTGTCCCCTGTTCTGAGGTTTCGTGGAGGTATTTTTTTTTATTGTATTTTGATAATCTGAACCGTTTATATTGTAAGGTTTGTCGATTATATCATTCATGTAAAAAATCAAGTTAGTCAGACACCTATAACTCCATGATCAAGTCCTAATTTTTTTAAAAAAATTATTAAAATCATGTTAACCGTTTATTTTTTGATAAACAATTGTGCTCTTATTTTAAGGCTACAAATGTCTAATTTACTTGATTTTTTTTTTTGTAATTTATTATGAAAAAAAAATACCATATGCACCTTTTTATAGTGCACTTAATAATATTTTCTTTGATTATGTGATTTATTCTATATAAGTAAAATAACTTGAGACGAGACAGTGGAAATCTCCAATTTTAATTACAGATTTTTATTTGATAAAAAAAATAAAAACGTGGATACCATATCAAAAACTAATTCTAATCATTAGATTTGGATAATAGAAAAAAATTTAGCCATCATTTAGTAATGATTAATACTGAATACAAGGTGATTTTTGCAACCAAAAAAAAAAAAGTAATTTTACTGTGACTTTCAACAGTTTTCTCTTTTATAGTTGGACGTTGAACCCATTTATGATGGGAGTTGGAACCCATTTATGATGGAAGTTGCAGGTGTATTAGGCACAGCCTTACCCTACGTTATTCGTAGTGTCATTGCTGAAAATACTTTATTTAAATAGGATAGATGGTGCAAATTAGCATTACTATATGAATTATGTTTCAACCATAGCATTAAAGTCTCCAAAGAGCCGCAACATACCTATTGCATCCCCCACCAACATAAACATGCCGACCAGACTTTCAAAGCAAAATCATATTAAAATTTCTCCAATTCACTATTATCTCCCCCATAAGAATTGTCTTTGAAATTTCTCCAACTCTTTCGCAACGCCCACAGGATCTTGAATGGCAACAGATAATAAATGGGCAAATTAGCTAGGTATTTTTGCTTCCACAAGGCCAATTTCTTCTTAAATTTCTCAATTATAGGCTTCCAAGTGCTAATGCAACCCGGGTTAGCTTTGAACCTTTAAGCTAGTCAGTTGTTGTAATGACTTTTTCTGAATTTGAAATAAAGATAAGTTTACACGACTATTTTACAATCATAGGATGATGTAATGGTGGCGATACTCCCAAATCAACATTTTATTATGATATAAACTTCACCACTAAAATCAAAGTAAGGTTTCTAGCATACACACCTACATAAGCATTATAGAAAGTAAACCATAAGGGGAAAATGATAAAATGAAAAGGCGAGTAAGATAACATAATGAAGAAGAGCCCGTCACAAGGATAGATCGGCCAAGTCAAAAGATCCTGAAACAGCCTTGCACCAAGACTCCACCTTTATCTGCCCCAGTTCTTCTTCTAATGTTGGACTGAAAATGGTAGCTTTTTTCCTTCTTTTCCCCAGAAGAAAAAATTTCCTCCTGTCCAAACCCCAATAGCTAACCCAGCAGCATAGGCTGCTCCAAGAGCTGTTGTCTCTATGTCAGCTGGTCTTACCACTGGGTTACCCAACAAGTCTGCCTGCAAAACACAAGTTCAAAATGAAACTGTGACATATATGAGTGCGATAGAGAAAACTAATTAGCAGCCAATTATCAAAATATGAACTGATGAGGAAATATGCCACAAAAACAAAACTTGAAAGACAATAGAGTAGACTTATAATTTAACTCCGCAAGGAAGCTCATGCGTGAATAACACAATATCACAACAAAAATGTTTGAACAAATATTTGCTAAGACTATGAAAGGAAAAATATGATTACTGTGGAAATGTTTGTAATTATCCAATTATATCGGAAAACTAAAATCAAATTGATTAGGCTCATTTTCAATGCAAAATCAATACAATCCATATCTAGATAACTTTCCAACATAAATAACTTCAAACACACATCAATAAAAAAAAGTTGTTCTCATGCTAAGCTGACCTAGTTTTAGATTCAATTAAACAGCAATGAAATTCAGCTTATTGCAGAAAATGTGAGGAAAAAAATGAACTGAATTTGCATCAAAAGGTTGTTTAACAGTAGCACCACCATCCCCCCTAAGCAAGAATTCCCCCTTCTCATTTTTGACCTCACCCTTCTCCCCTGCATCCTTGTGCATCGAATCCAACAAATTTTTCACCTGGAAACACATACTCTCGCGCACAGCTCGAGCAATATGAAACCTGTTCATAAACCTCGTAATCCCAATACAAACTCCACAAGCATCATCACGCCACCATGGGGTAAATAATCCATCAAATGCTAGCAGAAAATAAACTCCACCAGTGGAGTCAACCTGCATAGCCAAGTCCCCAATCTCACTAGCAGTTCTAATTAACCCAAGACCGTCTCTGAGCCACTGAACAGCAGCTCCTGCAATGGCAATATAGCCCTCAATAGCATAGTTTGGGGGTGTTTGGGAACTTGGTTTTTGAGTTTTTTTTTTTTTTTTTTTTTTTTTCACTACAAGACAAATGTTTTACAAAATCAAAAAAAACAAATCCAAACAAAATATCACATCAAACTCCATAATCATTTCACTTTTTCTCTCACAAACATCACATCCAACCACAAAAAAATTCAACTATCTTTCCAAACACAAAAAATTTTCTCCAATAATATCCTACAATTAAAAAAACCTACAAAAAAACCCACTTCCCAAACACCTACTTTGTCGGAGCATCTGGGCCAAGCTTAAAAGCTTAAGTGCCTAATAGACCATGAGTAGACTGAATCAACTCTTCACTGGTGCTGAGAAGTATGAAAGCCCCAGTTCCAGAAGTACATTTTGCCTCTCCACTCCTACAAGCTTGCCCCAGCATTGCTGCTTGTTGATCACCGAGACAAAGCAATTGGGATTCCTGGGATTGGCCATCCAGTTGGTATTTTTCCAATAATCTCAGAATTACTGACAACTTTGGGTAGAATTTCAGCTCAGCACGAATTTTGAGCGTCTCCAATGTGGATTTATCCCAATCAAGTGTTTTCAGATCCATAAACATAGTTCGTGATGAATTTGAAACGTCTGTGACATGTAAACCATTATTAACACCTCCAATCAAATTCCAGATCAACCAGGAGTTTATAGTTCCAAACAGGGCATCTTCTTTCTCTACTTTCCTGTACAAAATACAAAATATTATGGTAAATCTAAAATAAAATAAAAAATTAATTCTTCCAAATTTACAAGTAAATTGAGTGCAATAATATAACACCATATCATTACTAACACGTAATGTCACTATCCAATAATAAATGCATCCGATGGAGGGATGGAGCCGTGATTTTGTCTTTGTGGGGAAAATATCATATAGTGAAATTTAGACAAATAAAAAGGACCATATTTATATTTTTCAGATCCTAATTTCAATGAATTAAAATATATTAGACAAAATATTCAATGTAAATAAATATATGCATGAAAAAAATAAATGAATAAATTTTTAATACAAAACCACTTGGTCCACTATGTAAATGGTACTCCACATTTCTTTTCTTTTCTTTTTTTTTTTTCCTTCAAGAAATTCATCAAATTTTCATCTATGACTTTTTTCAACAAAAAATAAATAAAATTTATTTTCCAAAATAAAAATCTTAGAAGTCATCATGAATCAAAAAACACAAATACAATAAAAAAAAATTAGAAAAAACCCAAAAACAAAGTTGCTTGTTACATACAAACAATAAATAACCAATAAATCAATAACCCTCAATTAGTAACAATTAGATTACCTGGTGTTATTAGCGGCCAATTAAAAAATGTAAATGGGATTAGGTGGACGCTACTTATCTTCCATTAACCCAATCATGTAGTCTCTCTATAGTAATCTGAGATTTTTCATTAATTGGTAATTAGCAATATTGCCACTCGTATCACCATTATACCTAATGTTTAATCCAATTCTTGACATGGCCACTACTGAACGCAACATATTCATGAACAGTAGATATACATATCACACATAAGAGGGGTTTTTAAAAATTAAGGATCATGGCCACCGCATGCCAGAATCTCGCTTCATCCCTGATCGGATAAGTGAACCCCATTATTCAAATATAACTATCATCCAATACAATCTAATAACTACCATACTCATGGTAATTGATTACTGAATTATGATGATATGGTATCATATCACTGTTAATTGAATTTTTTTCATTAAATAGAACTACAGACACCCCTATTCACAGAATGGGGTGGCCTTTTTTCTAGGAAAGTTTGCTATGTGGGTAGTGATTGTTTTGGCTCAGGTGAATGGACACAGTGCTGGTTGCTTGGAAGGGGAAAGGAGGGGTCTATTAGAATTCAAGGAGTTCCTCAAATCCAACGGTGCTGATGCAGACCATCTTCTCCCTACCACAGTGAGTGTTGTGATTGGGAGAGAGTCACGTGTGATCGCACCATGGGCACGTTTCAGAGCTCTTTCTGCATAATATCAAAGATGCACCATATATAGATCACAACAATATTTGGCTCATAAATGCCTCCCTCTTCCTTCCTTTTAAAGAGCTCCGAAGCCTCAATTTGTCTTTCAATTTATTCAGTGCTAGGACTGACAATAAAGATATGCAAATCAGCTAATATAACTCCATGAATGTTTATATTTTAGTTTTCTAAAAGTACTACTTTCTATAGTTGGCTTAACGGAAGAAAAAAAATAAAAATTAATGGAGAATACTGAAAATATTAAACATGAAAATTTTCTACACAAGTCTTGTGTTAGAGAAGGGGTGAGATTCTGTCCCGAACACTACTTGTGAGGTGGGGATGGGTAGAGATTTTGGGATAGGTGATTCATCTCATTTTTTCCAAAATTTTCATGCTGGTTTGAGAAGCTGTCGGCTTTGAGAAAATTGGAGACTCTAAATCTTGAATGGAACAAATTTGATGATACCATTCTGCCATCTTTGAGTGCGCTTAGATCCCTTAAGATGCTTAATCTTCGTGCAAATAAAATCGGGGGATTATTTCCAGCTCATGGTAACTTCAACTGTGTCTCTGAAAATTCATGATTGTTTCTTATTTGTACAGGGAGTTGAGAATTGTTAATCATAATTACAATTGCATAATTTTTCTTAATAATCTTTCTATTAATATGTTGTAAACTCATCACTTTGTTGTTTCTTTGTGCAGAATTAGCTTATTTTGGGAACTTGGAAAGGTTGGATCTAAGTGAAAATCAACTTAATGGCATCCAAGGTAAAACCTAGCCTTCTTGAAATTATATGCTTGCTTAAGTTTTCAACAAGCAGAGCAGGAAAACCATATAACCTCTGTAGTTTTTGATGCACTAACAATAATGGACTATCTTCTCCGTCCAATTGCATTCTAATCACTGATATTTGGCCCATATTGCATTAATAGTTATGATCTGGACTATGCTCTTGGTGGACACAAAAGAACCCAGCAATGAAACCATGAACCCTTTTCTTTTTTCACATAAAGCTCACTATTTTCAGTCAACTTAACAGAAACAATTCTTGGGTGATAGAAAGCTCAAAAAATGAATTGGCACTGAATTAGCCAGTATAAAGTTGGCCAAGTAGAAACTTCAAGAATGTCAAGTTGACTACATTGACTGGTTTTATACATAGCAAGTAAGAATGCTCGTTCCCTTTTGATAAGAGTTCTAAAGTTAAGCTTTATTCCCCATAACCTCAAGAGGTTGGCCTGGTTGTCAAGGCTTGGGGTCTAGGGATGTGCTTCCTCCAAAGTCTCAAGTTCAATACCTCCTAGGTGCAAACAATTTCTTGGTTGCAAGTAAACGGTGAGATTGGTTCCCTAGATTAGTTGTTCCAATAGGCTACATACCGAGTTATCAAAAAAATAAAAAAAAGCTTTATTCCCCATGAGTAGGAACAAATGAAAGTGTACTGATTCTTCAATTGAATGGCATAGCTAGTGGTTTGTGGTTTACCTAATTATTGTTTTTGGTGAAATAAGGTGTGTTTGTGTGTGTGTCTCTGTGTGTGTGTGTGTGTGTGTGCATGTGCATTCCATATCACTATATATCATCTACAATTTGAATCAGAGTAAAGTGAAAATCATTTTAAGAAGTACCTAATTACCTGTAAAAGCAATAAGTCGGTCATTTTCATATATGGTTCTTTGGGGTTGACTTTTAATGACATTTGATCATGGTCATACGCTCAGATTCTAAACTACTGTCTAAGTTGACCGAGATGAGACATATAGACCTAAGTGGTAATCAATTTAACAAGGATGCCTTCAGGATTTTGAATCCCATCCCTTAAGTTTCTATCCTCAGAGAATAATAAAGGTATGTGTATTTTCGATTTCTAAAATCCATGCTACTTAATTTAAGTTTTTTTAGCTCCATTTGAGTGTTGAGAAGACTTTAAATAGTTGAAAAAATGAAGTCTTACAGCTAGCGAAATTCGCAAACTAAAAGTTTTTTTTTTTTTGTCAATTGTATCTTTATGGAATCATCGTTCTCTATTTTCTTCACCTCAATCTAATTAATGAGTCTCTTCACTTGGGTTACAGAATTGACTTATAATCTTAGTAATCTGGAGGTCCTCCTCCTTAGACAGAATCAGCTCAATGGAAGGCTACCAATGGAAGGCAAGAAATTTGTTATTTAAATTGCCTTGGGATCATTCTGCAATCTTGATTGTATTAAGTTCTCTTGGCTCTATTTTACCTTTATCATATGTTTTGGTAGGTTTGACATCAGTCCGCCATCTGGAGATCTTAAATTTAAGTGAGAATAATTTCTTTGCAAGTGTTCCTCCATCCTAGGGTGGGACAAACGTCAGGCAAGGCCGGGTTTGGGCCGGGCCAACACTACATAATAAGAGACTGTGTCTACCCAAATCCGGCCCGGCCCTAATATCGGGCCTCTAAATCTGTCCAAGCCCAGTCAAAAAAATAATTATAAATCTCAAACTCACCCATCGGACTATATGTTAAAAAAAAAATTAAAACATTCCATAATTAAATTCAATCACACATTATATTTCTTAAAAAAATATATTGACATCATTATAAATTGAAAGATTTTGTATATAAATTGATGAATTTCTTAAATAAACTCAATCACACATCACAACAAATGTGAGTTTTAATAAAATCAACAAAGATAAAGTTTAAATCTCAATATAAAAAAAATATATATATATATATTTTAATGTATTACAAATAATTAATTAATTTAATAGCGAGCCGGGGCTGGGTTGGAAGTAGAGGTGTGCGCGGTGCGGTTCGGGCGGTTTGAGAGTAAAATTATAAACCGAATAGCGGATTAGCAGATTGACAAATTGCAGTTTGGGCAGTTTTTGGCGCATTGGCGGATTGAAGAATATTCTAACGAATTATCATATATTTGAATAATATATAACACTAATTTGTATAATATTTTTTATATATATAACACCAAGTAACTTTACAGAATATATTTCATATATATAACTACTAATTTGTAATAAATTTAATATCTTAAATATCTCTCTCATTTTTACA